GGGGGGGGGGGCTCGGCACCATGTAATGGATACAGTGCCCATAATTATAAGATTGCTTGTGATTCCCATTTATAAACAAATATGTGATTGGAGTGATTTGGGGCAATTTCGGCATAGAAAAGTCTGCAACTTACTGATTGGATAATTGAACCATTTTTTAAAGAAAAGCATAAAAATCCTCCTTGTTCTTGGCACACGGCATGTATAGCGTGAATGACAAGACTAACCCAGGTCAACAAATTCAACTTTTCCATGCAGGCCAAGCTGTCCAGCAAAGGTGACTTTTATAGGGGTTGGGACAAACCATATAACACTGCTGGGGGTGCTTATAACGGTCAGCTTTTATTCATGGGGATTTTTCACCTTTTTGCAAAAGAAAAGAATGTGCTTTAAGCTCTTAGACTGTTAGGAGAAGTTGGACTAAAAGGAGAACTATGGGGTCAGGGCTTTTCCCCATAGTTCTCCTTAGGGTAACGGGAGGACACAAACTAGCGTCCTCCCGTTACCCTAAGCTCAGTATCCCGCGAGCTACAGCTCGCGGTATACTGAGACGCCGGAGCGGATCCCGACACCCGCCCCCTCCCCCGTCTGTTTCGCCAGTCAGCGCTGGCGGATCGGAGCGGGGAGGGGGGAATCCATCCCGTCCCCTGTCATGGCAGAGAGCCGTGACAGGATCGAGAGGTGAGCGAACGCCGGTATCACCTCCCCATCTACTGAGCCGACCTGTGACAGTCTCATTACCACAGGTCGGCTAGAACTATGAGGTGAGTGAAAAGCACTCACCTCATAGTTCTCCTTTAAGGTGGAACTCTATAATGTTAGATAGGCCAGCAGTATAGTTGCCAGTAATGATCCATATGTCACATCTAGAGGGCTGCAGGAGATGTTAAAATTTTCATTTGTAGCGCAAGCCACATACAGTGTGTCCTCGGATCTCCTAGCTGCAGCCACTTCCTGTCTCTTACAGTAACTGTAGAGAGTTGCTCGCTTGGCACCTCCTCCATTCAGAAAATGTCTAGTATCCTTTCAAGGGATACAAGGAGTTCTATGATTGGACAAGGTAGAGAGGAGGGGAAGATGACATCACAATCTACCCTCATCCGAACAAGAGGTTTCGAAAACATTGGTAGCTTCTTTTATTTGGTTATATGCTGTATATATAGCGCATTGTGATGAGCAAAACATGCCTTGGTTTGGTTCACTTGGATGTTCGCCAAGCCCAACAAGAAATGCATGCTCAGTGAACATCCAAGCAAGCTCAACTCAGGAACCCCTGTGTCCTAGTAATCAATGACATCGTGTGACCTGCACAACAATAATTGGTTTTTAGCATACTAGTGGTTTGGCCGCATATCGCTATTAGTTGCCAGAATGCAGGTAGGTGCACCATAACAACCAATGATGCTGTGGGACCACCATCTTAGCAGTCCACACAGCATCATTGGTTGCTTAGACTCTGGGGGCTACAAAGTGTCATAGGTTGTTATGGTGAGCCTACCTGTGTCTTTGCAATCAGTGATGATGTGCAGTTCAGACACCAGTCAATCAATGAGTATCTGTGGCTCAGCCACCAGTCAACCAATGACGCTGTGCGGCTCAGCCACCAGTCAACCAATGACACTGTGCGGCTCAGCCACCAGTCAACCAATGACATTGGGAACCTCAGCCACCAGTTAACCAATTACACTGTATGGCTCAGCCACCAGCCAACCAATGACATTGTACAGCTCAGCCACCAGTCAACCAACGACACTGTATGGCTCAGACTACAATCAACCAATTACACTGTATGGCTAAGCCACCTGTCAATCAGTTACATTGTGCGGCTCACCCACCAGTCAACCAATGACACTATACGGGGCGCACAGTGCAACTGGTTGCCTTTACACCGACCTAGGTTCAGAAAGTGGGCAATCTGACCAAATCTTTCAATCGGTGACCGGCTTGGGTTCACGTCGACCCAAACCCGAAACTCATCCCTAATAGAATGAGAGAACTTTACATAATGTGAACAGAAGTGACGGTCTGCATATGTTTAAAGGAGAACTATGAGGTGACTGCTTTTAACTCACCTCATAGTTCTAGCCGACCTGTGACAATGAGACTGTCACAGGTCGGCTCAGTAGATCGGGAGGTGAGCGAACACATACCGGCGTTCGCTCACCTCTCGATCCTGTCACAGCTCTATGTCGTGACAGGGGAGGGGCTGGATTCCCCCCTCCTCGCTCCTCCAGCGCTGACTGGCGGAACAGACGGGGAGGGGGCGGGTACAGCTGGCTCTGCCTCTAGATAGGCAGAGCCAGCTGTCACTCACGCAGCTGGGCGGATCTCGACATCGATGTCGGGATCCGCTCCGGCGTCTCAGTATACCGCGAGCAGCAGCTCACGGTATACTGAGCTTAGGGTGACGGGAGGACGCTAGTTTGTGTCCTCCCGTTACCCTGAGGAGAACTATGGGGAAAAGCCCTGACCCCATAGTTCTCCTTTAAGTCATTTTGTTAATTGTAATAGAATGTTTGTTACTATTCCTCTGAATGATCGCTACTCTTACCCTCCAATATTCTGGATCCCGTGGCTGTAATAAGCAATAGTTTGCCGGGACTAACAATCAGTCTTATTAAACTTCATTTGTATTTTTTTTCCCAGTAAAAATCAACCTGTAATCCGGCCTCCGGGTCCAGCTGATCGGAGGACTGAACCTGTGTAAATAAGACGCGGCCCGCTGGGAAAAACGACACTTGGCGGCGCGCAGCTGGCGAGTGAGAGGTCGCCTCGCTGCCCTTTATCCCTTAATGCGGAACATCTGTGAGCGGTGCTCATCGTCCAATCAGGGAGCGAGTCTTCTTCCTGTTCCCCGCTGTGTATCGCTAACCGCTCATTACACAGCTCGCTCGCACAGATGTTCAGCCGAGTGCGCGGAATCCGCGAGACACAAAATTACCTTCGTCTTAGATCCACATTCTGCTTCCTGCACATCGCGTTTGCGGCGTGGCCGTTTAACCCTTCGACGGGCCCACTCCGCCTGAACTCCGGGCAGATATCAAAGACGCAAATGAATGAAGCCCTGTGTCCATTAATACATCATTAAATGGTGCAAGCAGATCTAGATCTGACCTGGTATCAGCCCCATGCAGTCTCTGTACAGCAGGGCTCAGAGTATTAGTGGGCATTAGCGCTGCAATGCTAGAAGCATGCTGGTAGGAGAAGAGCAGAGTGACAGGACAATCTCATCAGTCTTCTGCTTCTCCATTCACTGTCCAATCACAGGCTGGGGGAGGGGGCAAGACATGTAAGTGTTACTTAACTGCAGCAGGGAAAAGTCAGGTCTTCTGGCCTGCCAGACAGGACTTTGCTGTGGAGTGGAGCTGTGCAAATTTCAGGAGTGGATGGAATGAAATACAAAGCCTATGGCAACCAGAATAGCTTATACACATATATACAGTATATATATATATATATATACACTGTATAGTATATGTATATATGTGCTTTTGCACAAGCTGGTCATGACAGGTTCTCTTGCCTTTCACCTTCACATAGATATCTACATTTCTAATTGGCTGAGTGAACACATCTTCCATACAATGTACATTCCGGCTGCATGTGGTCATAGTGGGAACAGGACACGTGTGTTGCT